GGAGCCCAGAGGTCGAGGCTGCGGTGGCCGGGAGCGGCCACTGCACTCCAGTCTGGGTGACAGAGTGAGACTCCAACTCAAAAAAAAAACCCCCAAAAAACCAAACATCAATTCTCCTTCTTCCCCTTGGAAGAAGTCAGTGCTGGGCCTGTGAATGTCCTCTCTTTGTTGAACATTAGGCTGGGCTCTCCAAAGAGGACACAGAAGACAAAGTGTGGGTGATAACTACCCAGAGGAGTGCACAAAGGAGGGGTCTTGGGGCTCAGCCCATAAATGCAGCCACATGAACAAAACACCACAGGAGCTGACCAGTGTGGGTGGGGCTGAGGGACTTTCCAGACCCATAGGGAGAGCCAGGCTGGGGTGGGAGGAAGAAGGACTGTGGAGTGTGCAGGCCTTGTTACGAATCTTGGTCTCCCCTATTTCTTTTTCTTTTTTGAGTTGGAGTCTCACTCTAAGCTCTGAGATATTAGGTGAGCTCCTGGCTGTCTGTGAGCCCCATCCATGATGGACTTGTAGGGAGACATGGTGTGTGCAATGTCTGGCTCAGTGGAGGAATCGCACACCTTAGCCTCATCCCCCAGGGATGCCCGCCCAGATTCTGCGAGACTTTTTTTTTTGAGTTGGGGTCTCATTCTTGTTGCCCAGGCTGGAGGGCAATGGCATGTTCACGGCTACCTCAGCCTCAACTTACTGGGCTCAGGCGATCCTTCCGCCTCAGCCTCCCGAGTAGCTAGAAATATGCGGTGCATGCCATCATGCCTGACTAATGTTTTATTTATTGTAGAGATGAGGTCTTGCCATGTTGCCCAGGCTGGTCTCAAACCCCTGGGCTCAGGCAGTCCTCTCGCCTCTGCTTCCCAAAGTACTGGGATGACAGGTGTGAGCTGCCATGTCGGACCCCATGTCCCCCATAAGGTGGCCTTTATTTTATTCGTTTTATTTTTTTTTTCAAGTTGGGGTCTTGCCCTGTTGTCCATTCTGAAGTGCAGTGGCACAATCACGTCTCACTGCAGCCTGGAACCCCTGGCCTCGGGCAATCCTTCTGCCTCAGCCTCCTGAGTAGCTGGGACTACAGATGTGGGACATCATGCCCAGCTTTTTTTTTTTTTTTTTGTAGAGACGAGGGCTAGCTGTTGGTGCCTAGGCTGATCTCGAATTCCGGGACTCAAGCCATCCTCTCACCTTGGCCTTGCCAAGTGCGCCGTAATGTGACCTTTAGAACGTGCAAATGGCCCACCCAACCCCCAACCATTTTATGCCCGAGATAATTTGCCAGAGAGATGTGAGAGGAAAGACCAGGGAGCAGTCTGGAAGATTCACGCCTGGGGGACCTGGCTAGAGGTCGCCTCCCACAACCCCAGCTCTCAGACTGTTTACATACAAAGGGGTGGGCTTTGGTCCCGGGGCCTCCTCTCTCTGCCGGGTCGAAATCTCGTCGTGCCTGGGTTACCCACGCCTGAGCCTTGTGATTGGCTGGTTGTGTGTGTGGTGGGGGGGGGGGGGGG